CTGCTGTCCTCATACATGTGCTGCTGTCCTCATACATGTCCTGCTGTCCTCATACATGTCCTGCTGTCCTCATTTATTTCTACAGGTAAATCCCATTGAGCCTCGAGGACTCATTTACAACAGAGACCTGATTTAACAAAGAAAGATGACAACAATGGACAACAACAACAATAAACAGTTATAAAAAGTCATACTGCAGTTTTTTTGTTTTTTTACAAATAGGATGGCTAAAAGAAAAAGATAACAAAAAAAACCCAGCTAGATTCTAAGGCGAATGTAGAAAACTAAAAACAGGAACATACATGTCAGATGCTTTTTAATGATTAAAGTAAAACCTAAAAAGATATTAGTAATCTTAGATGTATGTATGTAGATGTATATCTTTGATCTTACTACTGTTTTTCTTTTACATTTTATTGTTGGATGTAACTGGGACCCCGAGTACATAATGTCGTCCCACCACATGAACCACATGAGTGTATGACAATAAAGAATCTCTGACTCCAACTCTTGTGACATGAAGTAAATAAAAGCTTTTAAATATTTAATCATGAAACGTTTCAATACTTATTGCTAAAAAAAAAACCTTCACAGAACATTCAGACCCAAATCTGTCTGAATCTACTTTCAGCCGGAAGAGGGCAGCACCATATAAGGGCAGCTGCTTCCACGGTACCGGAAGTGGGTGAGGGAACCAAAACAACATGGCGGCGCTGAACCGGCAGCTTCAGGAGTATTTGTCCCAGTCCAAAGGCAGCGGTTCCAAGTCCGTGTCTCCGTCCAGCACCGCAGTGGACCTGGGCGAACCGGAGCCGGTTCCTGGGAGCTGGTTCGGTCGATGGTCCAGTCCGTGGTCCGGCCAGAGCTCCTCTGGCATCAGCAGCGGCTTGTCGTGGCCGTGGTCGACCGAACCGGACCCGTGCCTGCCGGGGCTGAGCCGGCGGCAGCGGCTGGTTCTGTTCGGCCTGCTCGGCTCCTTCTCCGGCCTGTGTTTCGGACTGTCGGCCCTCTACGCGCCGCTGCTGCTGCTCTACGCCCGGAAGTTCGCGCTGCTCTGGTCCCTCGGCTCCGCGTTCGCCCTCGCAGCGGCGGCGGTCCTGCGGGGGCCCAGCAGGCTGCTGTCCGGCCTGCACACCTCCCCGGCCGCCGCGGGGTACCTGTGCGCCCTGGGGGGCACCCTGTACGCGGCCCTGAGCCTCCACAGCACCGCGTTGACCGCGCTGGGAGCCGGCCTGCAGATCACCCTCATCCTGGGCTTCGTGGTGACCCTGCTGCCGGGGGGCAGCGCCGGCCTCCGCCTCCTGGGGGGCCTGATGGCCTCCGGCCTCAGGAGGACCGGCAAGACCCTGCCCATCTGACCGGGTCAGCAGGGACCTCCAGGACTCTCTGGTGATCCAAGGACCAAAGTTCAGACCCTGTTGGACCGCCAGGGTCCGGTATAAACAATAAAACTGTTGGGTCCAGTTCTGATGAAGACACTACAAAACCTGGGCTGGGGGGTCCAGTTCTGGATTTTATGAAAAATGTAACATTAAACTCCTCTGTACCGGTTCTGTTCCCAGCATGGACCGGGCCTTTGTTGTCTTAGACAGTTAAGAACATATTGCACTGGTACTGGTCCAGTCTGGACTCTCAGGGTTCTGGACTTCATGATACGCGTTTTGTAAATTCAGACTGTAAATAAAAGATGGTTCTGACCCGCTTCTGTTCTTGTCTCAGGATTTAAAGGGAGGCTACAACTGTTGCCAGCAGCAATACTCTGATCCAATCAGAAACAGGACTTCCTGTTTGTAACTGATGCCTTCTGGGTAATGTAGTGAGACATTCAGCCGGGTTATGACAGGTGGGCCTTCACTAAGAACGGACATGCGAGTGGCTGGTACCGGGCTGTGGTGAGCCGGGCCGGCTCCGAGCCGCGTGACAGCAGGTGAGACAGTTTGAAGTGTGAATCTTTATTGTTCCCTCGGTGAAAACACAAACACATAGAAATCTGTTACAAAAAGCTGCAGCGGAGCTGCAATCAAACAAACAGCCACCACGAGTCTCTACAGTATTTTACACACGCCTCCTCCTCCACCTGTCAGCCCAGGTGTGCAGCTCCACCCCCACTGCAGACATCCACCCGGGGTGGCTCACGTGACCAGGACTCAGTCTGCAGGTCCTTGGGACCTGATCTCAGGTCTGAGGAGGCGATCACAGGAGATGGGGACCACGGGAGGTTTCTATTGGTCTCTAGGGCTATCGTCCCCGCCCACCGCCTCTTGGCCCTCCTCTCGGTGGAGGTCCTCCTCTCCACGAACCCGGTCCTGGACCTCCTCCAGGACCCCAGCCACCCCGTCCACCTCGACCAGATGGAGGATAGCCACCGTCATCCCTCTGAGGAAAACGACCTGCGGAGAGGAGAGCTGCTGAAAACAACAACTAACAAAAAGACAACAGCTCAGAGGGAATCACCAGCAGCCTGAAAAATAAGCCTCAAATTGGTTTTCTGTACAAACTACATGCTGGACTGAAGAACGTTAGGAGATTCCTACAGACCTTGATGTAAGACCCAGCAGGCTGGTGGTTCTGAATAATTCTGTGCTGTTAAAACTGTGTGTGTGTGTGTGTGTGTGTGGGGGGGGGGGGGGGGGGGG